AATAACCTGGCAGGTAAAATATATACAAGATATTCCTAATAAGTGAATGAAAAGAGGCAGTTGTTGCACATTTCAAGCACAGTAATTAGAAAGGACTGGTGATTTTTCTCTAAAGGCAAGATTAAATAGCATAATACAGCATTGTGAAACTTTCCTCTCTGATTTACAGAGAATTTTGATCAAAATGACAAGCCAGCTCAGAATTTCCCATGCAAGTTCCATGGCACAGACCTGGGAAGTTGTATTTTAAATACTCAGAAGTGCTTTAATGTGATTTTTGTGTTGTTTCTCTGTAGTAAGTATTTTGGATTTCTGTGGGGAGAGCATAAGTTATATTTGTAGCAATCCAAACTACGTTTGAGGTCTCCATTTTCCATGCTCAATGCAATTGCGCTGTTTCATCGCTCCCTTAAAATCTGAAATAGTAGACTCGCATCAATGTAGAGTTCATGGGGGAGGCATCTGCATGCATATATATTAATATTTCTATTTATGTGTATGTATTTCATTTACTAGAAACTGGTTTTCAGGCATTTTAGATCTTATATAAGATTCCCTTACGGGAGTGACCGTGTCTCGATGCCGATGCCACCTGAACCAAAGGCACTGGATTACAGAGTCAGCGGGGTGGGAACTCACCACCAGGTAGCCAAGGAGTCATCAGCAGTTTCTATTTCGTTTGTGCTTCTGTCTTGTACCGCTGGAAACCTGTTAACCAGCTGTTGGGACTACCAAGTTAAATTTTCAAACCAGGGCGTTGCAGTACAGGTTCTTAACTCTGCCCTGGTGCATATTTATATTCACAGAAAGAATGGCCTTCCAAATAAGAGAGTAGACATATTCCCTACAATTTGGGTAGAAAGCCTAGATAGTCTATGTAGACCGCATACATGGTCTGTGAATCTGTCCACTGTGTACCAAATGAATACATGCAAGTCCCAACATACTCACAAAAACTATATATAAAATAATACTTTGACAACATTCTCCAACATAAACAGGATTTTAAACTGACAACTAAAATACCCACAGACAAGAGTACATCTGTTGGCCTGTCATGATAACTTGTGAAAGGACTACGATTGATCTGTGCTTAGTTTTAGATAAAAAAGTAGGTGTTTGAATCTGCTGAAAAGGGTGGACTTTGGAATGACTTTCATGGGAGCAAACGGCTTGACAGTGTGTGCTTGAAATAGTTGGAAGCGGTGTGTAACAGCAGCATTCGCACTGCTTCCCCCTGCATTGCCTACTGTGCGCCTTGTTAGATGCATTCTGGGTTTTTTTTCTGCATTTGCCCAAATAGTGAGCGTGTGCCATGAGACTGAGGGCTCATGAAATAATATGCATTCTGAATTTGGTGCTGGATCCTGTTGCTTAGGAAGTCACTGGCCATTCTTGTCACTGGATAAATGACAATCGCCAGTGGTGTTGGCCAGGGTGACTAAAAACACGGGAATAAAGGAAGTCATGTTGGGAGTATCCTGGTTGCTTTCAGAGGAAAGCTGAAAGAACTAAGCCAACAAAACAAGTACAGACAACTGAAAATAGTGGAACTATTTCATGAGGCTTAGGTAGCCCCTGGTGGCTGATGCAAGTTAGTTATTCTGCAAAATGTTTTTTATTAGATGACAACAGATGTGAATACATCACGTTTTCGCTGGCAAAACACGAATCAGAATTTCAAGTGCTAAACCCAGAATTTTGTGATGAAGTTTAGTGGTTGGTACATTATTTATGAAGAGCAAAAGGTGCCAAGCTGGCCCTGGGATGTGTCAGCCATTTGTTCTTCTGCAGTAGACAGTGTCAGAGCTAAGGCCTCGGGAACTGAATTTAGCTGATAATAGCACCACTTTCATTTACAATTTAATCTGAAGGTTCCTGCCTAGGGTCAAAGTAATAGACGACTGTGCATATAATAGCTTCAGACACAGGGTCTGACTGCATCTCCTCAGCCTGTGGAGCCTTCCCTCACCCCTGTGCTTGAATGTTCATTGTGGCCCCTCCACTCCACCATCACAAGAGTTCACATCACTGCTTGGTGTGCTAGATTTGGGGACGAATCCTGATGAAAGTATCTCCGCAAAAAGTGCTTGTATGGGAGGGGTTTTTAAGCAGCAGCATTTCAGTCCGTAGTGACATTTAAATGAGAATGCATGTGTAATACATTACGGAGGTGGGACTTGGGGTGAGAGGCACTTTTGCTGCTGCAGAAATTTGTTAAATTTGTGCAAGCAGTGGGTCTACAGTTCTAGGCATTGAGGAGAAAATTATCAATAAGGGAAAAAATGCTATTCAGCTATAAAACTTGGTCCTCATTTATGGTAACCGCCACACTTGGGAGTGGAGAGCTGTCATTGCCCATCACCAGCTCTGGCAATTTAGGCCATCAGTCACGGACCTGAAGCTATGAGGCAGTAGCATTACAAAGTTGTTGGGAAGGTTGGAGGTCTGACCTGATCCAGTGTGACTGGGACTTTAGGCATTTATGTCTGCCTACATACAGTGAGTTTCTAGTGGTTTTTCTTTGCTTGAGAAAAAGCAAAGTCACTTCCCCTGTAAGGAAACACCTTGCATTTAATATTCTTTCTGCATTGTCCTATACTTGAATTATGGGTTTCTGCTTCCATCACAGGAAGATTTCTTGGCCAGACATGCTAGAGGCATGCATATCCATTTCTTCTTTATAGTGATAAGATTGGGGCATTTCGCAATGTTATAAAATATGCTAAAAGTGGGCCAGTTTACCCAAGTGACTACTACTACTGTTAGTGGTATTTGACAGGTATTTTCAAGATTGTTATCCTATTAGCAAATCTGCTTGTGACTCTTAATGTAGAAGTTTCGTTGACTTATTGCAGTGAATACAAACATACTGAGGGAAACCAAAAAAATATACCCTTCTGGTGTTAGACATGACACTTAAATTAGAATATCTCTTGAGGAAATAGAAATTAATCCTTTTCTCTTTAATCTGCCTGAACCGTCTATCTTGATGTGTCTTGGAGACAAGGAAAGCTGAAGTGTCAGGAAAAGTAATAACTTTTTCTGTCTTCAAAATTTTCTTGTTAAGCTTTCTGGTCTTCTAGCCTTTGTTCCTACAAAGCTTTGCAGTTGGCATTTCAGTTTGTTTTGCCATAATGTTGTGAGGATTACTTTCTTTCCAACATTTGTCCACAGTTTCTTGCAACTTGATCCCAGGGTGCTTGGCTTTTGGGGTTTGGGGTTATTTGCCTCATGAATGAATTTTCAGTTACAGAGCCGCTAAGTTTAATCCTTTGGCAGGGAATGGCTTCACATCTCTCTGTCCAACAAACCTTCTTCACAAAACCTTTGGTTTACTTTCCCCAGACGTTTTTAAATCTGTTGCTTCTCTTAAGCTGAAGAGATTCTTAAGACTTCGAGCTTTGTAGCTTAGTATTCATCTCTTGTGTAAATGTTAAATTAGTTTAGGCTCTATATTTGTCTGTGAGTCTAAGTCTTCTTAAAGCTTCAACTTCGCCCACGGTTCTTCCGTGTGCATAGAGCCTCTAGTGCTTATTTTGTCACTTCCCCGCCCTCTTCCCTGTATCCCTGCCAGTGCCCAGACCAGCTGTTCACCACCTCTGCTCACTCTTTAATCTACTGCATGGTAAGGTCACCTTTTCCTTTCCTCTCACCTGTGTCAGCTTTATGCTTTTCACTGCTCAGCAGATACAGGTGGGATGGACAAGCACAACAGCACAAGCAGAGTTGGAGGGGGCGAGGGGTGGATTTCTAGAATCCGTCAGAAACTCTGAGTTGAAAATAAATGTTTTAGCTGAATGCTAGAGAACACTTCCTGTTTTGGCACTGTATTATTGTATAGAGTAGGAAAGTACATAGAAGTATGCATTTCTGAGTTTTCACTGCTCTACCCTCAGTCTGTGTATATTTTCATGGTCCCTTTAGCTACAGGCCTTTCTTTTGTATGTATTCAATTATATGCCTTAAGGCATGTAATTAATAGTTTTTACTAATTAAAATCACCTGCAATGTATACATAGGCTAAGATTTTTACAAAATCTGACACCCAAGCTTGAGTATCTTCAGAAGAATCAAGTAGGTGGCCCTCTTTTCTTATGGCTTTTCAGTCAGTTGTGTGTTCTGGATGTGTACTTTCCATACCTCAGCTCAGTGGTTCCTCTCTTCTTTCTTTTTGCCTGGTGGCATAGCAGTAGTGACAGAACAGAAGAGTCTTGAATTTTTTTTTCTTTTTTTTTTAAAGTGTTGCAGTGAAGTCTGATGATTATTTCTTGGCTTAGATAGACTAATGCTTTCTCCTATTTTTCCGTGCAGCTGTTGGGCAGGTTACCTTCTGATTTGAATTTGAATGTATGCCTTCCGTTTACTGTTGATAAAACTTACCAGTTGTAATCTTTTTTGTTGCTAAAGTGTGACTGTAGTTGACAGATGTTGATACAGGTTGAGTATTCAGCATAGTAGAGTGTATATGGGGAATCTTTGAAATGCTTCCAGTGGAGTCCAGGTTTCAGTGAATCTTCAGGGAGGGATTTGACTGGTGGTGGTGAAGGTTGCAAAACTGTGAGAGTGGATCATGGGGGCTTCCTGAGTTGGGGGAGAGGAGAAGTAGATTCTGATAAAGAGAATGGAACCAAAGCCCAAACGAAATTGGTGATGGGTGTGCTTTAACTGGCATGGTAAGGTGGCACTTGCTGTCTTGTTGGGGCAGTAGTATAAGTTAGACAAGGAAATGCAACAGCCAAACTTGCCCTTGTGGTTAGGGAGGAAATCTGAACGCCCTCCCCAAGGACTGTATCTACTGCCTACAACTACTGTTCCAATGGTGCATGCTGCTGAATGGATTGAATGCGTGGATGTTCCTTATAGTAGTCAGACCTCCCTTCAGAAGATACCTGCAGGCACCAGCTGGCCAAAGTGCTTTTTTCCAGTGCAAGGAACTAAAAATGTGTTGTTCTAAACTATGCTGCTTTTTTTTTTTCCCCCCTATTTCTTCCCTGTAGCCTCGTCACGTATTCAACATGTTGAAGAAGTACGTCCGTGCTGAGCAGAAAGACAGACAACATACTCTCAAACACTTTGAACACGTCCGCATGGTAGACCCAAAGAAAGCTGCCCAAATCAGATCTCAGGTAATCTCCACTGAGGGTTAATGGGGTCATGTTTGTTTGTAACCACTGTGAAGTTTCTGTTAACCTTTTTTTTTAAAAAAAAACCCCAAAAACTGGCACCTTTCTGTGGACAGCTTTACATGCAATGAAAAACAATCTGCTTTCCAACAGAAGATTAAGGCAAAGTGATGTAGGAGTAGGGTGGGTATAATTTGTCTTCTGAGACAATCTTCAAAGCAGGTTTTCTGTCTATCCAGGCAGTGAGTTGGTTGTGGACATTTCCTGAGGAGCCGTCCATAGCATTAATGCCCAGAGCCTTTATTAGTGCTTTGGTAAATAATACCTCTGGGAGGATGTCAGTAATAGATTTCACAACCACACACATTGTACTTCCCTCAGCTGAAGTGGCAGAACCAGAAGTGGTGTAGCCATCTGACTGCAACCAACCTTTCTATAGTCATTGCAGAGGTACTTGTGGTGTCTATAAATGTGATTACTGCAATGCACTCAAGTTTAACATGTTCTTTCAAAATAGGCACTGTAGTTCGTGGCATTTTAACTGCTGAATGTTACTGCAGTCCTCAACATGTATGTTTTGGAACAGCTTTTATGTTGCCTTTGTAAATCATGGAGGGTGGGAAAGCAAAAAAAAAAAAAAAAAAAAAAAAAGAGAGACTGAAGATGTAGCTAGCTTGCAGCAATTAAAACTGTGGATAATGGATAAGCTGTAAAAGGAAGTGTGCCCTAATCTGCAGAATCTACCACTGTTCTCTCTGCAGAATGCAATGGGAAGCTCTGTTCCAGCCACGGTTTTTGAACTGACTGGCATCGCTAAAAGCCAGATAAAAACCGTTACACCTCCCTGAATGGCGCAACTTGTGCATTAGACTTCTCAAACATCTCTTCTAGCCAGACTTGTACATTGAGATCATGCTGTCTTGAAATTGCTAGAGTTAGAAATGCACACTTCTAACAGTCTACTGCAGTGATGGTTGTCTTTCCCTTGTCTTAAATATTAAAGCATGTGCTTTTGCATATAAATATGAGATTTTAGTTTTTAAAACATTGGATTATTTAATAACAAAAACCAGTGAAATTTTGCAGACTACACATTGTATGACAGCACAGGTGAAGAATGGAAACTGACATTTAGCTACAAGTGCAGTGTATTGCTTAGTGTATCATCATGGGAATGAGTATTTCTACAGTGTCTTTGCTTCTTGACTTGGTCAGAAGGTTGGGGGAATGTAAGCTGGAGGACTTGATGGGGAATTTTTTTCAGTGAAAAATGGAAAACAAAATATTTTGTTCGAAAGCATAAATACTGTGTTTCAAATTGAAGTAATAATACCCTTTTTTTCCTTGAAATAGCTCTCTGCAAGCCATTTTCCTATTTAGGCCTAATTGCCCTGTCAGTCTTCTAAGATGCACCTCAATTTCCCTTTCTGCTGAAGAGAGGTGATACTTGTGGAGAGTACCCTGGGAGAGCATATATCCTGGGGTGTCGTGACTCAGCCTATAGCACTGTGCAGGAACCTGAGGCAATAGAGTTGTAATCACATGAGACAATGCAGTAATGCTTCTGGGTGGAAATATTTTTTGGTTTCAGCTGAGAATGTTTGCAAATGTTTTTACCAAGAAAGCTGGAGCTTTTTTCAGAGAGCTGTTTCTTTTTGCAATATTAGGATAAAGAAAAAACAAACGAACAAAAAGAAAAAAAACCCCAGACAGCTGAAACGATTTGATGCAGCAGTCATTGCGCCTCACTTTGCGTGTTATGTGGAAACTTATGGGTATGCGCAAATGCAAATGTTATTGAAGGGTAAATGAGACTGTGGATTTCTGCCACAATAGCTGCTTATGTACATGCTTTACCCCACAGCAAATGTAAACCTGCTTAAAATGATTGCATTCCCATGGAATTTCAGGTAGTTGCTATGGAAGAGCATCTAGAACACTGTTTTTGTAGCAGCTGTAGGAGAGAGGTGAATTTTGCAATAGATTTGACAGCTTCAGTACATAGAGCATACTGGAATCTTAAACCTAGCACAAGTGAAAACTGTCTTGCTCTCTGTAACCTATAAAATTTGTGATAATGTCAAGTTAGCACTAATATTTCCCTCCTTAAAATACTTTTATTTCCATAGGTTATGACACATCTACGTGTGATATATGAACGCATGAACCAGTCTCTCTCCTTCCTCTACAATGTGCCTGCTGTGGCAGAGGAGATCCAGGATGAAGTCGGTATGCAAACTATTAATGTAGAAAAAGGGAAATATTTCTCTCATGAGAAATTACTACCAAAAGCTAATATACAGCAACTTCTCCTATTGATATACTATGCCAGCTGAAAAATAGGAGAATTAAGCTTGCCAATGTTCTTAGATTATAAATTAAATTGTAGTGAATACTTGGAAGACAAATCCTGTATAACCTGTGCAGTAGCATCATCATATCGTTGTAAATGTTTTCACTGAAATATGTTAACTTACATTTGGAGCCTCCATGCTATATGGAAGCAGCTATTGACAATGAGATTTAGCAAATCGTTCCTGAGTTTGGATATTTAATTTTTGTGGTTGAGTATGTCCATTATCTGATGCAGACATTTTGAAAATCCCCCAGCTAAAAAATCAGTTGCAGATCCAAGCATCTGAGAAGAGTCTAAGTATTGACTGGAAGTTGCTGAGTGCAACTTGGCAGTATCTTACTGGTCGTGCGTTTAGTTCTTGATTAGTTGGTCAAATGGGTATCTCTTCTCCTCCCATTCTTTCCAGCAAACAGGCTGGGCTGTGGACTAGTGAGGTAGCAACAGTCCCATGTTCGCAACTTCCTTGGGTGCTGTCACAGCAGATAGCCATGAGGGAGAATGGTATTTTCTCTCATTTAGGTTCCTGCTCTTGGCTGTGGCATTGCTGCAACAGAGAGATGCCCGTCACAGCAGTTGGACTGCTGTGTGCTGCTGTTGCAGCAAGGCAACTTCATTTAGCCTCTATTAATTTCAGATATAGCCACAGCTCTGGACATCATGTTGCTAATCTGCTTCTTTAAGAACAATAATACACGGTTGAATGCAAAGGCCAGAGGTGGGACGGTCATTGTCTTTGGAACAGCTTTTTTTTCACGAGATGTAATACTCTGCCAAATGGCAGTTAATGGTTTAGTTTCACAAATAACCAGCTTCAGCTGACTAAATAAGTTACTGATTTCTTTAAAACACAAGGGAGGGAGACGTGCCATTGTGGTAAGGATTAGGATGCATTTAGGACACAGGGAGGGGACGAATAGGGAATAGTGTTGGATTCATTTGCCCAAAGCACAGGTTAGGAGGAGATGTGTTTCTTCTTGTGAGGTATCTTGAGAGGGCTGGGGATGAGATCAGGAAGTTGGTGAAAGGGTTGGGAGGATACAAAAAGATAGCTGAATTGGTAATTATCTTTCACCATGTGTTTCTGAGCTCCACAATCAACAATCTCAGTGTGTAGTTGTAGACAGTCATTTGGGAGAAAAAAAAACAAAACACCTTATTGATCACTTGAAAGTATCATTTCTGTAGCAAAGAAGATGCTGATACTGTTAGATCTTTGAGATGCTCGGTTTGTTTTCTTTCTGCACCGCTGTCATTCCCTTGGGTTTTTTGCTTGAAGTTTCAATTCCTTCTGTTCTTGGTAATGTTAATGCTTGTTGGTGAGGACATTCTCCTAAATTTTCTTCTCTCTCCTAAATACTGAAATGGAATGGGAATTTCAGAGGCTTTGAAGTAACATGGGAGCAAAAGTCTATTAACTGCTAAGTGGTTTACAAAAATCTGTCTCCTAATCTCCAATGTAATACTAATTTTCAGGGAAAAAAAGAGCCTAAAATTAGTAGGATATTATTTCCTAATAAGATGAGAGAAGCTAAGATATCTCAAAGAAAAAGTCTATCACAGTCTCTTGAGTACTTTTTTCCTACCTTGATTTTTGGATGATTTTGAGTATACTAAAAATTCTTCAAAGCATTGCAACATTTAAAGCAATGAAAAGTACGTCTTATACTGGGAGTTACCAGCAGCAAAAATTAAAGAAAGCTCTATCAGATCTGGGCTGCACTAGATAAAATAGTTTTCAGTAATGGGAAGAAAGCCTGTTCTCTTTCAGTATCAGCATGCTTCTTGTTGATAAGATTGGCTGTATACTTGGTTTTACGTATTGGTTTTATTGAAAGTTTGTTGAGGTCATTCCCATCTGGTAAAGGAGACGGCATCCTTCTAGCTTTGAGCACTGATCAGTCTATTTCAAATTCTGTTCTGAAATTACTGAATTTCTTAGTCTCTGTACTCTTCCTAAACCCATGGAAAAGGAAATCTATCACAGCTGCAGATCTGTGGAGAAGTAAAATACTAATGAAATTGCACTTTGTAACATTCCCAAGAAATATTACAACTCTTATTAAAAAGACAAATGTTTCGTTAAATACCTTTTGTTAGAACCATTGACTTAGAAAGTCTGAGTCAGTGGAAAAGTTGAGAAATAACCTACGTAAGGACATCTCACGCACACAGTGTCTGAATAATAAATTGCATGTAAGGAAGCATAGTTGGAAATAGTTCTTCTCTTAGGCTGGGATGCAAGTTAGATGGCTAATGTTTTAGTTCAGGTTTTTTTGTTCATTATACTTTTGATTTCTAGTTCCCACGCTTTACTGTGGAGTTCTTCACGAACAGTTTTCACCTTGAGGGATGAATAATCTTTGCTTTAGAAGGCACAGCTCTGACAAAGGTAGTTTTTTTTCTGTAAATTGAACAAATACTTCTGTGGGCAGCAAAATAAATGAGATCTAGTTTCCTGTGAATTTGTTCCATGGTTTTAATTCCTCTAATATCTAATAAGGTGCTGTTTTTTACTAGGTCTTCTCATTCCTAGAAATATTATGCTCTATTTTACAGTGTCTCCATTATTAGCTGTTGATAAATTTGAATCTCCAGTCTTGGGATTTAATTTTTTTTTATTAAGTTTAGAAGCTAAACTAGAAATACATTAAAGTTTCCCATATGTCTTCCTGACAGTCCGCTACCAAAGGTTCATCTGTGAGAGATAAGTGGTGTTTGGTCCTTGGAAAGTATGTGTACCTGAAAATGAGGCACACACTTCTAATTTCTGCCTGTTATTTTTGAAGTCTTTATGCTGAGCAATGAATTTGAATTACATGAAATAGGATCCAGAGTTATTCCTGGAGCATAGCAGCTGCATAGACAACATTTTCTTCAACTATCTGAAGATTTTTTTAATTAATTTTTTAATTAATGCTTGGTGATCAGATTAAGCGCAATCCAGCAGTTGGACATTTGAAGTTCCTTTAAAATACAGGATATGTTTGAAGTTCCTACCTCAAAAGGAGGGTTTACAGCCATAGGTGCAGAATCCAAAATATGAAATCCAGCTTCTATGCTAAAATCGCCCTTTTAAAACTTCTGGTTATTTTCAGAACTCCAGCAGAGATGGCGGCGGGAAGTTGGGGTAAAATTTAAGAGTTGTAGTTCTTATCTGCAGGTGTTCATCAACAGTTCATGTCTGTTGTCTTAAACAGAAGATGTCTTGATTTGAGGATATAGACCCATGGCACTCTGAAGGATAGAAAGCAGCACTTACATGAAGTGAGAATTTTTTGCTAAGCAATTGACCAATGTGTAATGTGCAAACACCCCATTAGGGTGACAGGCACATACTATAGCAGCAAATTCCAGATGTGTAAGGAATAATATTGCTGTCTGTCTTTTGTTCATGTTGGGGTGGGGGAAGAAGGATTGGAGTAAGAGGTGCAGAAGGAGGTCTGTCTGACCATGACTGTTGCAACAAAGCTTGGGAAGCACAAACAGGTCATTTGTGTAGGAGACCATTTGGCATTCTGGCTGCGAATGATTTCTCAAGGGGCAGTGATGCAAATGTGCTACAAACCAGGTCACTCACGGCAACTGATGTAGTTCTTGGTGTTAAGTGGTGTTTCTCATGAATATACCCCATGGACAGGAGAGGGGCACAAAAAAAATCTGAGAAGAGATATTTATTTGCACACTGTAGGTGAGCAGATTATTTGGTTACCTTGGTATTTGTACTCACCTTTTCCCTCTGATAAATTTCATATACTATTTAATATGTACCAAAGCTCCAAGAGAGCAATGGCAGGCTTTAAGAGAAATCAGAAGTTCCTTTGAGCACATCCTGCTTTAAATCCTTATTTGATTAGACTGCTTATCCATGTATGTAAAAGGCAATTTATTGCTGGGAGTGGCACAGCAGGCACAGCTTCTGAATCAGAAGCTATGTCAGAGCTTTGTGCATCAGTCAAATGGGCAGGCGGTGAGCTGAATTTTTAATTCTGTCTTTGCTGCTCTGTTTCCAAACTGATATACTCAGCTCCATGTTTTCTAGCCCACCACTGATGAAATATTCAGCACCGCCTACCGCAGCAGTATCGTAACTAAGCTCTGAAACATTCAGTTATGAGCAATAAGCAAAAGAATATGATTTCATCTGTCCTTGGACAAATAAAATCAAACTATTGTTATTTTATTATTTTGTTCCATTGTGCCTACCCCGTTCTTCTGCAGCATGTTCTGGATGCCACACTCAAACTAGATAGCTGGGAGAGAGGACAAACACAAGCAGACCCCAGATCACTGCTTGCATTCAAATGCACGCGTGTGCTGTGGATCATATGCTATTTCAAGTATTTGTGTGCTCCAGCTTAGCATGACAAAATTTGAGCAAGAGTGATTTGCCTTTTGACATTTGGTTCACAACTTCCTGTGAAAATTTTTTGAAGTATTTCTAGAAAAAGCTCTAAATATAGGACAAGCTGCAGAACGAAGATGTCTGAAGACTTCCTTTCTTTTAACACTTCCTCTTTAACCATTAGGTACCTATATTTGTATGTATCTGTGGAGGACAAAGTTAGTGCTACCTCAACTGGTTCTGGTCTTTCAGCATTTATAAGACTAATTGTTGATTTCTTGTTTCTAGCTGATTTTGACCTGTAGTGAATCCACAGCCTGGCTGCATTTCTTGCCATGAGTTGAATTAGGATGCTGTTCTCCATTCGTTCTGTGGTATCCTTCTTAAGGAATTTTGATGGCATTAGCTGCTTGCTGCAAGCTGGCAGTCCAAAACAACAACCCTTGTGATTTGGGGATTTATATTGCAAAACCAAAACACATCCTTGCGGGCTTTGCAAAAGCAAATTCTGCATCTGTCCTGTTTGGTGCC